GAGCACGCCACCAAAAGCTCTGAAAATGACTCCTGTAATGCTAATGCGATCCAAGGAGACGGGCCCATATACGGTCCCGATCGGTGACGAAGTCGTCTACTGGTGAGCCAATGGGCGACCCTGTCGTAGATGTACGCATACTTTTCGAAAACTTTGAGCTACACACAAACGCACCCTTGTTGAAATCTGGCTCTCGGAGCAAGCCTCGGTCGATAGACAGACGCCGCTAGGACCACAAGAAAATGAACCCGTTGGCGAGATAACAGCGAGTCTCCGGAATCCTGTCACGCCTGTATTACAGTTTTAAAGCCCCGCATTGTGCGAGGAAGCGGCCACCCGGAATGTTAGACGGCAAACTCCGCTGGGGTAGAGCGTGACTTGGCATCCAAGCCCTCGGCTCTGGCGTTTCGGATCGTCAGCCGTGCATACGGCTTTTCTTTTCAACCTAAACATTTTTCTCCGGTTGTTTTGTACATCTAAAAGCACGGGTACGTTGTCATAAGGCGTCAGAACTCGGGGTGCAGTTCAACCGGATCGCCAATAAAGCAGTTATATTGGGGTTATGGAATAACCTGTAGTCCAGTGTGGGTGGGAGTCGGTAACCATTTGGGAGTGAAGGGGAGTAGATTAGATGATCTCCAACACCTTCCCCCCTCCCCAGTCCCACATATGTGTCGTAAAATACGACAAATTTTATGTTCAATAAAATCAGAATGTGTTGAGCTAAACGTCACAGCTAGCTGTAAACCCAAACACAATATGTCAAACACCATATTAGGAGCGATCACATAATAATAATGACTATGATGATGATACGGAATATGCGTTGAATATTGTTTCCCAGCGTTACATTCCTTTCTGCTAAACTGTAATCACTATACATTTTCGATGACGGTGCGTCGAAGCCTTTTCCCCAAGATACTGCAGGCAAGCAGACGGACAGACAGCTAGATGGATGGAAACATAGATAGATAAACAAGCAAGCAGGTAAACACCCCACATATTCAACACAAAAGCGCCCAGTCGTGAACAGAATACAGCAACAGAAACTCCCAAACAAGACCATAACTAAAACTATCCAATGTCTACGTGCCTGTTCGGCCCCCTACTGAGGCCCAACCGATTTATTTTCTTTAGAAGCAGTAAGCTTTCCTACCTCCCTCCCCCCACCCCTTCCCTCCGCATTAGACTAGCTTATTGAAATGTAACTACACCTACACTACAATTTTCAATTCAAATGAGGCATGCAGAAGAGAGAGAGAGAGAGAGAGAGAGAGAGAGAGAGAGAGAGAGAGAGAGAGAGAGAGAGAGAGAGAGAGAACAAAAAAAAAGAGGTGGGGGGGGGGGGGTGACCGGTTTACTGTCAATCAAAGTACGAAGCATGGGCGCCGGGACCCCGTTTGGGGGGCGGGGGAGAAGGCCCCTTGAGCGCCCTGCCATCCATAAATTTTTAGAGGGGCTAAGCTGCCTCTATGCCTATGTATATAGGCAAGTGTATGTTCAAGTGTATGTGTTCCTACATTTCATGTTAGGTCACATACGTTATTATTTTCCTCTGCCATTCATTTATCGTGATAATTTGTTATCTGTCACAACAATCAATAGTATAGGACCCTCTTTCTGGCGTATGGGACACATGGGACTAGACGGATATTTTATAAACGAACTGACACTTGGAGGGTGATGTGGTCAACACCACGCCGGCAGCCTTCACTTCCCATGACTCTATCTGGTACTTATTTAAGGCTGGGTCGACCTGGGAGCCGGGGTAAGTTTTGGACAGGTCTGGCTCCATTAAAAATAATAATAATAGGAGCCGTCTTTGTGTAGCGGCTAGGCGCAAAGCTTACGGGCCCGAATGTCGTGGATTCAAATTCGCTCAGAACCACCTCGTTTCTTTCACAATATTGGCTTTCATATAAACAAAGCATAGAATGGGTACCAGGTGAAGTCCTGGGAAGTAAAGGCTGTCGGCGCGATGGTGACCTTTTCACTCACCAAGTGCCGATTGGTCTATAAAATAAAGGTCTAGCCCTATATGCCCGATATATACCTAAAGGCACGGAAAAGAGTATCTTATTTTTACTTATTATACTGCACAGTTATAACCTTATTACGAGCTGAAGATCGTAACAACAGAGATGAGATGTCTTAGCAGAACTGCCTGTGTGACAAGAAGAGATAAACCCAGAATGAGGAAATTAGACAAAGACTAGGACTGCAACAGTCATACACTACAACAAAGAACTACAAATGAAATGGTTTGGCCACCTGATGGAAATGCCTTGTTACCAACTGACACAGAGAGCCACGCTGAAGAAATATATTAAACACAGAGAAAGGGAAAGACCTTGCAAGATATGGAGCGACATCATCAAGAGCCACCTAACAGAGGTGAACACACAACTTGTACAATGCATTGGAAAAAGCACACAAACGATTCTCACATCTCCCCCCAAACATATCGCTGAAGTAAATGGTGGAAGAAGAAGAAAAAGATGATACTGCATTGATTTAAAAAGGGCTTAAGCCTCCCGTGGCGCCCCTCCCCTTTTGTTCCAGTAACCTATTTGCGTCGTCGCCTCTGCTTTTAAAGGAAATATTCGCGCACTATCGCCAGCTAAAGTATAAAGTATGCACAGAAAGCCAACCGATAGCATTCCTCTACTTCGAAGGGGGTATGGGAAAAGACAAAGAAGATTGATAACGGAAGGTACCGGTCCCCCGCACTCCTCGGGGCGGCTTTAAACACGGCTAGAGTGGGTGCTCAAGATGCCTCGAGTACTCCTTCGCAACGCGCCGAGTTGGGCCAGGTCGCTCGGATACCCTGGCGAGCACAGATAAGAGACAGCGGGTGGCCGCCGGTGACACGAGCGATCTCCGAGGGTCTGCCAGAGTGACAGACGAGGTTCAAGAGCGGGTTTCACAGCGCCGTCACGTCGGGTGAAAGGTTGGCTTTTCTCACAGGTAATGGGGGCGCGGGAGGGGGGTGAGAGGGTGGTTTTCACTCTGTCAGGATAGCAAGGCAAATCAAGTAGGGCGATAGCGATAATGAGCACCTGGCCCAACGGTTAGAACGCAGAGCTATCAAGCGGGAGACCCGGGTTCGAATCCTTGGTAAGGCTTTGGATTTTTTTCTGTCGGGGGCAAAATAAAACCCTTAGCTGCAAGTCGTGGCGACAGCACTAGCCATGCGGCCGTAAATCATTAGACTCAAAGAGGTCGCGTTAGCGCAGTTGATAGGAGACTCGCTTTCAAATCCAGCAGGGACTCGCTGCAGCCCACGACCGGTGTTTGAAACCGGGCGGTTCCCGGGGTTCACCCAGCCTTTTATAATGGGTACCACAGTTAACACTTTGGGGTGTAGGAAGTAGATGTAGCTACAGAGTTGCATGCGGAGGACACAGGCCGTTTGTTATCGTGTCCGTGGGATCACTTATGATTTATACGTGTGCAAGACAGATCTCCCGGCTTTTTACTATATGCACCACAAAAGTGTAAAATATAGGCAGTTTATTGGTTTTGAAGTGGCAAGCTTCACTGGAAAGCTCACGGGTAGTGAGCATGCTTTGAATCTTTTCTGCAGGCTATGCCGGCGTGGTGGGTAATGTACAGGCAGACAGATTGGCTAGATATGCACCACTGAGTGGTGAATTGATACATGACAAGGCAGATGTGGTCAGGGCCCTTTGGGAACAAGCAACGGATCAGTAGAGATAGAAGATTGTTATGGCCTAAAGAGAATAAGGCACCATGGGTGTAACCACAGGGTTTGGCCGGCTCACTGCACTCAGAGGAAAGGCGAGACGGACAAATAACCAGATTGTGACCGGTACCATCAGTATTGGAACTCTCCGCTGGCTGCTGAAGATGAGGACGGAGCATGCATGGGAATGCCTCGAGTGCTGTGATGTCAATTCTTGACTCAACTCAACTCGCAGATAGTGATAATATTTCGAGTAGAAGCGAAACTCGCTGATATCGCTGTGCTACGTCATGAGTGGGCTCTGGGCGCCCCTTGGGGTGAGGGGGCGGGGGTGGCGTGGACCAGACTGCCACTTCAAAAATCATGTCTGTGTTCACTGGCTGTCAACTCTAGCGTAAAACTTTGGATGTTCGCCAACTTCTGAGTTTTATGTGAACATATTTTCGCATATTTGGCTTATTTGTGTGAAGACTGTTGGGTCCACGCATTGAAGTCTAATTCACTCCGACTTGAAACAACAGTTTACAATCACCTTTTTACGACATCATTGTTTGCGGCGCAGTGGGTTGGTCTACCCCCCCCCCCCCCCCCCCGCCGCCTCCCCCACCCCCACCTCCTACATTGGGGCCCCTGAACCCACCACACAGGGAATTTCAAGGGTAAATAACAATGTATCTGATACGGCCATGGTGCCTGTCTGGATATCAACGTGGCTAAGGGTGTTACGGTACCTGCCTCCGGCTTATAAGGTGAACATTCTTGAAGCAACTGAAAATCGCAAAGAGCAGGCCATGAGGACTTGGTCCTGTTAAAAATTGCAACTTCCCACGATCTTACGTAACAAAATTACCCCTTTTTTCATCAGTTCGGCTCTACAGTGGACACAGTCTCGTGAACAAATGTAACAGAGGGCTGCATGTGAACTGGCGAAAAAGGAAAAGCAAAGGAGGAAAGGAATTGGCGACCCTGCCGTTGTTTGGGTCTAGAATATTAGGAAGGCACATCATAATAAAAGTAGTAGTAGTAGTAGTAGTAGTAGTAGTAGTAGTAGTAGTAGTAGCAGTAGCAGTAGCAGTAGTATTGGTGGTGGTGGTGGTAGTAGAAAAAGCAACTCAAGTAGTAGTGAAATAAAGAAGGAATGAAGCAAACAAGGACGAGCAACAGGAGGAGGATGAGAAAAAGGACGAGAAGATGGCTGATGAAGAAGAAAACGAAGAAAAAGAAGAGAAAGAAGGAGAAGGAAAAGAAGAATGAGGAGGATGAGGAGAATAAGAAGAAAAAGAATAAGACTTACCAGAGTTGCCCCTTGTCGACAACCATCACAATCACACATGGTTGGATGGACATTAAGAATCCCTTTAGCTAGAAGCAGTTTTAGGCTCTTCCCGTGATGTCGAATAGATCGCTTCCAATCCTTGGCCGTCTCTCTTCCAGACACGAACTGGAATTCGTTAGGGGTCAGCCAAGAGTTCTGGAAGTTGATGCAAGGGCCCTTACTGCCCTGGCATAGTTTTGTCAGATAGAGGATAGCCTTGTTTTGCCCACATTCGACTTCCAGGACTAGTTCTCCGTCCTTGAAGACTGGCTTCACCAGGTCATCGGTCTGCTCGGAATTGGAGCCCTGGGTAGATGTTGTTGAGGTCACCTTTGGGCTGTTAGAGGATTTCGAAGAGGAGCTGGTGTTGTTGGGCTGGCTTGATTTAGCTGGAGCGATGTTGTTAGGTGTGATAGATGGGGACTTGCCGAATTTGTTGCTGTTTGCAGCACTGCCGGGTGCAGTTGATGTGATAGCAGCTAGTCCTTGTGGAGCTAGGGGGCAACTTGTCGTGATAATGTTGTGATTGATAATGTTATTGTTAATAATACTTCCAGTTTGATGACCGATATTGATTTCAGAGTGGGTCATGGTCTGTTGGTGATTTGTAGGTACTGACAAGCGGTTGCTTATGTTAACTGCGTTGGAGACGGTCATGGTTGTTGGCACCAAACAATTGGCAGCCTGGACAGCAATAGGGGTCATGACCGTAGGGATTATAGTTGAGGTTTGGGCCAGCTGTGTGGGCTGGTGCATGCTGACCATCGACACAGCAGGACACAGTCCAGTTACAGTGGCTACTACAGATACCACAGGTAAAGTTTTGTTGTTATTGTCATCTGCTGGATTTCGGATAGTGGTGCCGTCTGAAAGCGAGAACTGTTGGAAAGGAATGAAGGCACTGGAAACTGGGATGTGAAGGGTGCTGATTGTAGGGCGAAGTTCACACGAGTTATCGATGGTTCTTTGGATATTCATGACTGGAAACTGCTCGTACAACGTTCACATTAAGAAAATGGTAATTCCCATGCACGGCACTATTTTGCACCGCAGTATAATCCTCAAAGAACGGAATGAAGGAACAAGAAATGAAGCAGTGAGCCCTTTACGACATAAAATGGTGTAAAAGGATGGTGATGACGATTATAATTCCACAAAACTAGTCCACACACCACAAACTGTCTTTCGTCCTTGAAGTGAATATTTTCCAACTGTCATAAAGAATTTCTCTGTTTCTTCAGAACATCCATATCGGTGAAATAAGGAAACCAATTGAAATAAGGAAACCAGTGTTATTCAAGACAACGCACACAACTTGGCCACAAACACTATAAACATTACTTGTGAAATCTACAATCGTAAATTTATAACTACACTACCGGTAAGGGACTAAATAGTTTCATAAATAAAGTCATACAAATCGCAAACAGATCACAATTTTTAACAGTAAACAAATTTAAACGCTTTCAATAGAAGTAAACAAAGTGTCTTTAGCTCTCGGAAGCTACAGCAACCCGGCGTCTGCTCAAGTTCTGTGCGACACTCGTGGAGCCCGACGAAACTTGGGAGTCCGAAGTGGGCGGTAAGCGCCTACGTAATTGACAGGGTGGACGGCCAATGAGAATCAGCCGTGCTCGCCGATATCCGTCTCTCTCTCTCTCCCTCGGAGGGCGCCCTCCGTTGCCCTCTTCACACGATCGGGCGCCGATGCTGGAGCACGATCCGCGGTGTCTGGTCAGGCGTCAGAAGTAGGGGCCCACGGAGGGAGGTGTTTCTACGGCGGTTTTCACACTTCACTGCGGCTTAGGCATTGTGTACGTGCTTAGTGTTGTGTTATCACAACGTTGTCACTGCAGATTGGGCATTCCCATGCGTGCTCAGTCCTCCAGTACAGCAGCCACTCCAAGTACTTCTACTAACTGTTCCTATGAGAAGCTGGTAATATTGTCTCCTATCTCGGCCTCCAAGACGGCAAAGACGTGCTACACCATGCTTTACTACCATGTCACGCAATCGTGTTAGGGATTGCTCAGTATGCCCTGTCGGTACAGCGTTGACGATATCTGCTCTGTCCTTGCTTCTTCCCACATGCCTGTCTGTGTTCTTAGTAACTCCGATGTGTCTTGTTCGATCCCAGCTGTGGGCGATTTGGAAGTAGACCCTTTTGCCTTGGTGTCAACTGTTGTATCGACAGCCGACCGTAGAGCTGGTAATGGTCCACTTGTGGGTTCCAGGTCCCTTTTATCAGGGTGGGGTGGAGGGAATAATAGGCCCACTGCCTCCCTAATAAGACTGCCAAAGTGTCGACTAGTCAGCGATTTGCTTTAAAGTCGGAGTACATCTGCCGGAGAGGCAAGGAACCACACGGTCTGCAAATAAGCAAGATCTGTAAAACGTATGTGCACGCAGAACTCGAATTCTGGAACGGGACAAAGGTCTAAAAATGGATGAATAACCAGATCTTTCTGCTAAAGGTTAACCCGGTAAACACAAACACGAAAAAGAAGAAAAAGAAGAGGAAACAGAAGAAGAACAATTAAGGTCAGGGATGGAGTTCTTCCTCTCCAAGGATCAAAACTGAGATAACATTCCAGAGACAACACATTAACCATAAAGCATGATCCCTCCCTCGGCCTGCTATGCTGCTCCAAAGAGAAGGTATAGCAGTACGTTCTGGAATATCCACATAGATATTCTAAAACTGCAAACATGAACCGAGCAACACTGCTTGTGAAAGGAACCCACGTCCTTCAAAGCTCGAGGAGAACCGCTTAACCACTGAGCCGCGAGGCAGAGACACCAGTGCAAGTGTTTGTCTGGGATATAGTCACGAGTAGACACCGGTATTGATGTCTTCTTAAACTTCGCGTTCAACAGAACGGAAATTTCTGGTTGTTCGTACACTTCTGAACTGCAGTCGTGTTCCAAAACCTGAGTGTTGCGTGTGCATCCGTTTTACAGATCTGACTCATTTGTGTGCAGATTGTTGCTTCCTTGCTTCTTAATCAGACGCACTACGACTTTGAGGAAAACTCCCAAATGTTACGACGTGCTTTCGGACAGGCAGTGGGTACATTCTTGTATTTCCCACAGTGGGGCCCCGGAACCCAGACGGGGAAGTATTAATGGGATTATCATGTAAAAACCACATTTTTTAAGAGAATATCACATGTCGTGATGCTCACCGAAAGCATCCGTCCAACACAGATTCGTCTAACAAAATATATTGAAAAGATAGCAAACCAAATAAAAAAAAAGAGCCAGTCAGCTTCACACTATAACAAACACAAGCAACAAGTGAACGCTGTGGCTAGGAAGCCTTCCTCAGCACATTACAGGAATATACAACACCAACAAATACGAACTCGAACGCACAGAAATCCCTTAATTGAAGTGTATCCGAGAGAAATCTACATGACTGGTCAGTTGAAAACCTGACTCACGCATGAGCATCAGAAACAAAGAACTAGCCCCTCCCCCTCCCCTTTCCTTTCCCTGAAAGCTCTCAAAGCCAAGGTGCATAATTATAAAAATATAAGATAAAACAGTGTTCGGCCTTGAGTCCCTTAGACAAATTGGCGCACATTAGAAAGATATGGCGGTTCTGGAAAGACTTAGGGACTCTACGGTTTACGACTATATGTCCGTTGCACCAGTTTGTGGGAAAGAGGTCCTTTACTTATTTTATATTTCAGAACGCCCATAAGTCACTATTTTAAGAACCTCTAACGGTGCCGGCTCTGGGCAGGGCGAGAACCACTCTTGAGACCTATCGTACGGATAATCACTTGCCCTGGCTGCCGGTGTAGTGTGAGCCTGTGCGTGTGTGCCCTGGTACCCTGTGGTGATAAGATCTCCCATTACCGGCAGCGAGGGAGAAGAGGCAGGAAGATCGGGATTCAGCTGAGCGTTCACTGCTCACTCTGGGCGCTGAGCTGATGGTCCGGGGTTTCCGCAACACGAGCAGGCGAGACTAAACAACGGCAGGGTAGTTGGGTAATTTTCTTTGGGGGTGTGTGGAAGGTAGGGAAGGGCGGTATTCAGGCATGCACACTAATGTAGAGAAAAGATTGGGGGTGGGGTGGTGGGACTGAGCTCCAGTTATATTTTCTATTAGCTGGGGCCATTAACATAACCTTGTCTAAGTACACACAATAATAATAATACTATTACTATTACTTATAGTACTAATTTTATTATAATTGGTATTAATATTAGCGAAATGCCCCCTCACCCCGTCCCCCAACACCCTTAAAAAATATAATATTCGAAAAAAATATAAAATGTACCACACAAAAAACTGAAATATGCTCTATACGAAGCCAACATTTCCAACTTGGGGATTATCACAGACCATAGACTCCAGCACAGACAGATCATTAATGCAATACAACTAGCACTAATCCGCGGGCCACTTGCTAGGTCTCCGCGTCACCAGATTCGGCGCGCGGGCCGACGGATGAATAGCCCTGCCCTCTACGGTCTCCTGCTTGACACCAAAAGGCCGTGGGTTCGGGTCCTGACTTTTGTTTTCAACAATTACTGTTCCCTGTGTAGGTTCTGGGGCCCTGTTGTAGACAACACAACAATACACCCACTGCTTACTCAAAACGGCTATCCTCCGAATAACGGTCGGTAAAGATGGCGGCCGCAAAATATCCTTTCGAGCCACAGTCACGTGACCTAATTTGCGGTTCTCCGGGGTTTTTACGGCGACTATCGCCACCGCGAACGAGATTTCCACGCCGCTGACGCGGCGTGGATTGGGGCTAAACTAGATGGCTAGGACCCACGAGCAGCAGCTTCCGCATCTTCTAAAGCTGTGCTCGTGAGTCCTAGCCATCTAGTTTAGCCCCAATCTACGCCGCTCACGCGGCGTGGGGATCTCGTTCGCCGTTGCGAACCGCAAATTAGGTCACGTGACTGTGGCTCGAAAGGATATTTTGCGGCCGCCATTTTTACCGACCGTTATTCGGAGGATAGCCCTCAAAAACATGTCGTATTGGGAGCTTCCTTCGAAGTCGGAGCGCACCTGCCTGCAAGGCAAGAAAGCACCAGTTGCATGCAAATGAGTCATACATGTAAAACGGATGCACACGCAACACTCAGGTTCTGAAAAAAAAAGAACTAAAAGTCCTCAAGTGGACGCAGCCAGAACTTTCCGCCGGAGTTTACTGCCGGTGAACGCGAAGAAGAAACAAGAGTACTACTGTTTGCGCTGCTGACAACATACAACCGTTTCTTATGTTTTGTTTTTGTCGGTAAAGTGCGCAGACATCTTTTCTGTCGATTATTCTCACCAGTACAGTCTGCAGACACAATATTTGTTGCCAACAATAGCCAGCAATTCAATGTAGTCATCATTCTTTAATTGCGCTAGTTGTTAAATCCGTGCAGCATACTACAATGGTATAGTACTTGCTAATAGACTGGAAAGTATTCAAATAGGTCATCACAGATCTGGTCCATAATAAATCCTTTCATCGCTCCTATAGACAACTGTTAATTGTTCCCGAAGTTTGCTACAGCTACAAAACATATGACACGCCCCTGAGACCATTGGGCAGGGAATAAAATGGTCGTCTTCATTATCATTATTAATCATCCTCGTTATCATTATCATCCCGATAATTGTGGATTCCCTGACCGACACCCTACACTCATAGGAAAGGCAAGAAAGAGAAGCATATTCTTCTTCTTTCTTATTTTGTCGTCTCACTGATACCAGGTTGTAGCCCAGTGTCGTGGTTTTATCGCCTCATTGATACCAGGTTGTCGCCCAGTGTCGTGGTTTTTTCGTCTCACTGATACCAGGTTGTAGCCCAGTGTCCTGGTTTTTTCGTCTCACTGATACCAGGTTGTAGCACAGTATCCTGGTTTTGTCGTCTCACTGATACCAGGTTGTCGCACAGCGTCGTGGTTTTGTCGTCTTACTGATACCAGGTTGTCGCCCAGTGTCGTAGTTTTCTGTGTTTGTC